CGAGACCCACCAGTCCAGCCACAGAGAAGCTGCCTTTCAGTTCCTGCCACCACCGAGTATCAGGCTGAAGCATTTCACAGCTTCTGCCCTCTGGCAGGTTGTGGAGAGAGCATAAAATGTGAATCTTGAGTTCAGTTGGTTCGAGGCTGAACTTAATTACTTGAAAACACTGGTGCTATGCACGCGTCCCTATGGCTCACTCCAGTCGGGTCCACTCCAGCCTCACTCTGCTTTACTGTTTCACATTCTCCAAGTCACTGGAAGCTAACAGCATTTGAGAGAGGAGGCTGACGGCGGCACTGGTGGCAAATATCCCTTCAAACAGGATTTGGGTTCTCGTCTGTGGTTTTTTCTTCCCTTATGAGAACAGCTTGTGCTGTTCCCTACAGTTTCTGCAGTGCAAACTGTGTAGGAAGTAGTTTGTCTGACAGAGACAAAGTGGCTCTTCATACTCACTCAGAAAGCTGAGCACGATCTCTGTCTCCTGGTCCTACCCTGAGTTTTGTTTTCTGTCTCTAAAGTTGTGTTTCTCCTGCTTTTAATCTCCAAGAAATATTGTATGAAGACAATTTTTAAAAATAATATCTAAAACATGGAATAGAACTCTAAGGATCATCTTTTGAAACAATTTAATACTAGCTGTTTTTCAGGTTTTTTTTTTAATTAAAAACACATCTTGGAAAATTGTGGCCAATAGTGTTGGAGAGCAATGTCCTTTTCCTCCACTATCTTAAGTTCCTATTTTTCATTCTTAGTTTTGCTTATGTTTAAATTGTGGAAATAAACCATGCTCTTGCTGTTATAGTTTGTTTAAGACTCTCATTAGGTTTGAATGTTATTTTGTGTATGTACATACTACTTTAAATATTCAACATTTTCCTCCTGTTGCCAGATGTCATAGTGCATAGCTATTCATCTTCTGATTTTGTCTTTTTTCTTAACTCTTTTTTTAAACCTTTAAATCTCAAAACTATCAACTTATCTATAATAAGATTGTCTAGTATGCTTTCTCATTTTTGTATATAGAGAAATGACCCTGAAGATGTTGGTTCAGCATTTTAGGCAATAAATACTTATTTTTACTTCATGTTGATAATTATTTATTGGTACAACTAACAAGTGTTAGCTAATCCTATATATAGCTTGTACTATATTTTAAATAACCTATGGAAGGAAGGAAAATATTTCTTTAAAAATAAGCAGTAGTTCAGTATTTTATTTCATTCGCCATAATTTTTTTTTTTTTTTTTTGGTTTTTCGAGACAGGGTTTCACTGTGGCTTTGGAGGCTGTCCTGAAACTCACTCTTTAGACCAGGCTGGTCTCAAACTCACAGAGATCCGCCTGCCTCTGCCTCCCGAGTGCTGGGATTAAAGGCGTGCGCCACCAACGCCCAGTTCATCCACCATAATTTAAAGGCTGCTTTTAGGTACTTCATGTCAGAGAAAGAAGAGAAAGAGCAAGCAGCCTTTGGGAGACCTTGGCCTGGTGCTGTGATTAGTGTGTTAATCCTGTTTAGATTCATCACGAAGCCCTGTGTGAACTGAACTCTAGCAGCCACCTGCCTTGATGGACATCGGCATCCTCAGGATTTGGAGTCGTATCACTCCCCCCACCTCATACTACCTTCCTGTACTAGTCCCAAAGGCTAGCAGGGCTCTCGTCTGTATAGGAATTGTGTGAGCCTGATGTCTGTGCATATGCTCATACTCGGAGGCAGACTATGCTGTCTTTCCATAGTCTGTTCTTTAGATGACTTTCTCTTTATATAGTTATTTCCAAATGATTTTCTTTTAATGTAACAACTGGTGGACTAGTCTATACAGGAACATTTTCAGGTTTTACTCACTAATTACAGTGACGGACCTGAAGACCAGAAGGATACCTTTGGCTGTGCAGGCTAACTTGGGCATGGATATCCTGCCAGGCTCTAGTGGCCCCCTAAGGATAGGCAGCCTTGCTCAGAGAGCCTTTTTCTTCGTAGGGACCAGTCCCAGAACACTTACAGGCTGTACCTGCTGATAAGGGCAACCAGTTATTTCCATTTGCCTACCAAACTGCACTTTGAATATAAATTTCAGTTCCTGCCCCCTCAGAACTCAGTTGTTAAGTAAATAAAAACTCTGTTTAATAAAGAAAAAGTTAAAACCATTTTCATATCTGTTGGTGACATTACAATGTAGTATTCAAAATATATACAGTATTTTTCTTTTTTTGGTTTTTCGAGACAGGGTTTCTCTGTATTGTTTTGGAAGCTGTCCTGGAACTCGCTCAGTAGACCAGGCTTGGTCTCGAACTCACAGAGATCTGCCTGCCTCTGCCTCCCGAGTACTGGGATTAAAGGCGTGCGCCGCCAACGCCCGGCTATACAGTATCTATTTTAAAACAGCAATTTTCAAAAATTTCAGATAGGCCCATTTTCATTTATTATATAAAACTTTAACCATTTAATCAGAAAGTGCTCCATATTTTTAGGAATATGGCCCAAGTCTATTGTTAGGACATGAAGGAACTGCAACTGCAGGCGGAAGAGGACAGCCTGCAGGTGCTGATGCTGGCTCACACTCCACCTGCCCCAGCTCAGACTTCTAGGCTCAAAGAATGAGGTAGAATTTGCTTCCGTATGTGTGCAGACTGTTTGCTGTCAAATGAAAGGGCCATCTCAACATTATCTTGGTGTGTTAGCATACTGGTTTATCTCTTTTTAAAAGGTCTGCTTTTAGTAAATGATGATGGGTTTATAAATATATAACACAAATTTAATTGGTTCTTTTAGAAGTTACACAAATTGGGGCTTGAGAGATGGCTCAATAGTCAAGAGTGCTTACTGCTCTTCTGGAGAGCCTGAATTCAGTCCCCAGTGTCCACATCAGGGGGCACCCACTTCAGCTCTAGGAGATACAACACCCTCTTCTGACTTCTGCAGGTGCAGCAGCCATGTGTGTGAACACACATACACACCCCTTAGCACACACATATGCACACACACAACATCCTAAGAGATACAACCTCATGGTGCTGCCTTTGCCTAGCACAGTGGTCCTCAGCCTGTGGGTCAAGACCCTTTGGGGGTCAAATGACCCTTTCACAGGGGTCACCTAAGGCCACCAGAAAGCACAGATATTTACATTGTAATTCATAACAGTAGAAAAATTACAATTACGAAGTAGCAATGAAAATAAATTCATGGTTTGGGGTTACCACAACTTGAAGAACTAGTTAAAGGCTTGCAGCATTAGGAAGGTTGAGAACCACTGGCCTAGCATGACAGGGGCCTTTGATTTAAAAGTGTATCATGGAGGAGAAAAAAAACTTGAGTTTTTAGAGACAGGAGAGAGTCAGTGGTTAAGAGCACTTGCTGCTTTTCCAAATGACTCAAATTCAGTTCCCAAGCACCCACATCAGAAAGCACACAACTTCCTGTAACTCCAGCTGCAAAGAATTTGACTCCTCTTCTGACTTTTGCAGTCACCAACATAGATGAGGCATACACTCACAAACACGCATATACATTACTGAAAAACATACTAATTAAAGTTATATTTTCTGTGCACCTGAAGTATTTCCTCCCACAGGTCCTCTCCACTCATCTGCCAAAAACCCAGCTTTTTTTTTTTTTTACTTATCCTTTCCTGTCACAATATGAAGCAGTTGGAGCTTCCTTTTTGGGCAAAAGGAAATGCCAGAAATTCTGATGCTTGGGAAAAGGATATAAGATCATTCTGGTTAGTTTTAATCATTAAATGCTTTTATAATTGTGGACTATCTCATTGTCCACCACTCAGCCTGTTGAGCATCAGACCTTTGACTATTGGCAAGGTGACATCCTTGAGGCAAGCTGGAGCTGTTTGCTGACAACAGGTCGGCACCTAGAGTTTGTGTATTAGCCTTCCTTTCCATAGGATTGTTCTTTCCTATTTGTCCATGGCCTGCGGAGGCCCCACAGAAGTTACCTCAGAAAGGCAGGTAATTAAGAATATGAAATTTTAAGGACAGTGGAGGAGTTGGCTCAGCAGGTGAACTGTTCATACAGCAAGCATAAAGACTGAGTTTGATCCCCCACCACCCACTTAAAAGACAGGTGCCTGTAATCTCAGTCTGGGGATAAAGAGAAACAAGGAGCCTGTCTAGCCTAATCAGTAAGTTTCAGGCACAATGAGAGAGCCTATATCCAAAAAAGGTAGAAAGCCATTAAGAAAGACACCCAGTGTCAACCTTCACATTTACATGCATGTGCATGTACGAGCAAGTGTACACACACACAGGGTATGGAATTTTGAGCACATCGTATTCTTTATTAGTCTTGCCAATGAGCTTTCTGACCTGTTGACCTAAAGATGGGTTAGTCCATCCATGTTTGTAAAATAAAATGAAAGTGGACCCACAGTTTTCACTGAAATTTAATATGTTATTTCCAAAAAAAATGGGAATCTTGAAGAAGTACAGCCCATCTTAAAAGATGAATTCTTAAATGCCTTCACCCTCCAACTTCAGAATAACCAATTGTTCCCACTTCATATCTGCCCTGCTGTCTTTCTGTATGTTACCATCATATCGTCCCAGTGTTTATGAGTTAAACTGAGTCTGCCATCATGATCTGCAGATGCTTACGCTCCTTGTTCTCTGAAACCAATAAGAAAATTTTATTTCTAACATTCTCCTCAGCCTGATGCTAATAAAAGCAACAACCAATGGTATTTAATATGCAAGCATATGAAATATTTAACCTTAACTATTTTAGTGTCTTTTGTGACCTTAAAAATAGATACTCAGAGCCGGGCGTTGGTGGTGCACGCCTTTAATCCCATCACTCAGGAGGCAGAGGCAGAGGCAGGTGGATCTCTGTGAATTCGAGGCCAGCCTGGTCTACAGAGCGAGTTCCAGGACAGCCTCCAAAGCCACAGAGAAACCCTGTCTCAAAAAACCAAAAAAAAAAAATAGATATTCAGCCAGATGTAGTGGCCATGCTTTTAATCCCAGCACTCAGGAGGCAGGGGCAAAGATAGATCTCTGTGAGTTCAAGGCCAGCCTAGTCTGCATAGCAAGCGCTTCTCCTTTCTTTCTCCCTATGTCATCATTGTGCTAAGCATTTTTTAAATTTCTCCTTGGTAAATTGTCTCAAGATCCACTGAGAAAGTATACACAGGACTAGTCTTGCTCTGTAGCCTTGTCTAGGTTGGCATACAAGCATAGCACTGAGCCCTAGATCTCTATAAGCCAGCTTGTACTCTCTGCAAATACATCCCTTTGACTCTAGTGACACTTGTCACTCCTGGACAAGAAAATGCTTGGGGGACAGCAGGGAAGCTGTGTCAGAATGTCTAATCCTTTGAAGTGACCACTGATGGAGACAAAAACCAAACATGGATTTTCCAGTAAATAGCCCTAAGAGTAGATTTCTTTCTCAAATTTCTGCCTTCAGATCGAAGCAAATTATACATGTTTATGTATGTTTTCTTAGGCTATTTCCTGTTTTAACTTCATTTTTAGAAATGCAACAGTAAAAGTTTCCTTTTAACATAGAAAACAGTGGCTTGCGTCTTACAGGACTATGGGGAACAGTGATAAATTTATTCCTGCCCCTTCATAGCCTTAGCTCCTTAAACTTATTAGCTGAACTTATAACGACTGCAGACCTGATGTGACTTCACATTTGCACCAAGAGGAATAGCACGTGGCAGAATGTGTTTGGGGCTGTGGCCAGGAGAGCAAGCTTTCAACACCTACACCCCTAGTCCAGAGGCTCTTCAGGAGTAACCAGGGAATTGTGAGCAAGGATGCTTGTCTTATTTCTGCTGTCCCAGCCTTAACCAAGGTCTCATGCGGAAAGCCCTTTGGCTGCACAGGTCCTCCTGCTGATTTTGTGAGAGGAACAGGCCTGAGTGGTAGGAAGCCTCCCTTCCAAAGTAATGTTCTTAACCCACCAGAAAATGCAGGTGTTTGCAAAGAGAAGCCTCAATCACAATGACAGTCACTTCAGAGAGTCTAGGCTGTCCAGTTCACATTCCTGATCATGTCCATTCTTTGACTGGTGTGGCAAGAGGGAACAGTAGCTTCTGGCATGGTCTTCTGGTCTGTGTCCATCTTGAGCATCAGTGACCGAATCAGACAGATACAGGACAGGCTATGATTCGATCTTCTAACATCACACTGATTACCAAGAATACAAAGTAAAGAAGGAACATCGTGAAGCCCAGGATCTTGTTCATTCTCCATTTACACGATGCGATTGAGAAGATCACAAACAGGAGCATGAGAAACAGCAAGACAATTGCACAGAACAGGCCATTGCTGCTGACTGGAACAGGCTGCAGTGTGTTGATGAGAGAGAAGAGGAGCCAAGGGACAGGTAAGCTGCAAAAGACAGAGAGTGTGAACATTGGCTGTTTGGAATGCGCCAGGTGCTTGATTAGTGTTTTAATGTTGCAGAGTTCTTACTTTTCACACATATAAGGTGAAGTAAAGCAGAAAATTATTGACCTTAGTTTACTGATGAGGAAATGCAGGTTAGGGAAACAAAATTACTTGGCAAAGGGTTCAAGGCTTATTGCTGAGAGGATGATTTAAAACATATACTCTGAGCTGGCCATGTTAGCACAGCGCCAGGCACTGAGGCAGAAGGATCCTCAGTTTGAGTCTAGCCTGTGCCAGTATGATCCCATCTCAAAAAACAATGGAAAAAATGTCCTGGGTCTGACTCACACTCACACCCACACCCACAAGCTTAGTGGTGCATATAGGAATACCCCTAGTTAATGCATGACTAATTTCTCAGTTCTTAATGATTAAGAACTACCTCAGGATAAATTTTCTTTAGTGACCAGATCTTTCTGATGCCTATACCACCTAACATCCACATACACAAATTCCAAGCAAAATGACCAAATCCAAGACATGACCAGGGAAATGAAAGCAGCCTGGGTGCTCTGATGGCCATGGGGAGACCAGGACCAGGGAGGGAGCTGTTAAACAGGAGGATGGGTAGTTGTTGTTTATACAAAAGACTATTTAAAGCCTTTGAGCTAGCAGGAGCCCACATATGAAGAAGAAGGATTGAAATGGCTCCTTCCAGACCCTTGCTGCTTTACCTCCTTGAAGAGCAGTGTTTACTGTATTGGGAAATGGAATGAATGGACCTCACTTCTCAATTCATCTGTATGTTCCAGTCAATTACATTTCAAGCTATGGTGAATGAAGGGAGGATATTTCATTGCCTCATAAGGACAAACCATACAAATGCCCTTTTTTGCATCTATAATAAGTGAAGAAGAAAACCAGCAAACTGAACCAATGCAGTTTCCAGTTATTCTGAATTATGCCTTAGAAACTAATATTATCACTCACCCCACTGTGATATCAAATATGTTGCTGCCCACTGAGCTTGACACAGCCATGTCTCCCAGGCCTTTCCGGGCAACGATCACACTGGTGATGAGGTCAGGAATTGAAGTGCCTGCTGCTAGGATTGTCAAACCCATAATCTCTTCCGAAATCCCAATGGTTTCACCGACCTAGTAAAACAGCAACAGTGATGAGGAACCATGGCAACACCAGATGGAAAATCTGAGAGTTCGCAGCACCAGTGATACACTACTTGACAAGAAAAGCACTAAGACCCTGCACATGCCCTCTGCAAGAGAGGAATGGGATTGGGGCCAATGAGAAAGAGCCAGGCTCCTGCTCCAGGCTCTAGGGAGCTCTTCATTGAGGGTACTAAAAGTCTAATGACACCAGATCTGTCCTTAACCATCATTGCAAATGCAACAACTCTGCATTCCTAGAGAACTGCCCCTCCAATAGTCCACTCTGTCAACATTTCATCTCTGGACATGTGATGTACACAGTGCACTGGGAGCTAGGCCAGGATGTAGATGGAAGTTTGGGCACTACAGCCCATGTGTTTAGCTTAGACGAAAGCTTGCAATCACAGCTCTGTGGCAAGTGCTGTTCTGGACAGAACACAAAATCTCATGGTGCTCAGGCAGCAAGTGGCATAATGCTAGCAAGCAGACCCAACTAAGTCAACTCAGTGAGGGAAGGGATTTCACTAGGTTGGGAGTGGGGGGTCAGGCTAGCCTGGTCCACTGGAATCTAGATGTGAAGGGCCTCCTACACCATGATTCAGCTGTTAAGATAGGAAAGTCACACTTGGAAAACAGTCAATGGAATAAATGTTCACTTTGAAGGCCTTTGCAAACAGCATGGAAACCACAGGTATACTGGAACTTGATAGGCCTGGACACTGGAAATGCATTCTAATGGCAAACACTAGGACCTGCTGATGGAAGACTGAGCGACTGTCCACTCACCTGGTGAGCCCACCATACCATGAGGTACGAGAACATGGCTATCCAGATGATGGATCCCAGGAAGGTAATGACGAAAAACTTCCTGGACTCCTGTTGGAGATGGAAAGGGACGAGAAATGAGTTGCAGAGGCTACTGGTCTTTGGCCCCCCTCTCGGAGGGAACTCCAAAATATGATGATGTCTAGTGAATGCATAGTGAGGGAGATTAGGAGACGGCTGCATGAAGCTGTGGCCCTTTCCCCAGGGAGTCCCTGGAACCAATAGGTAAGGAGATATGGGGAGCCTAGACTGTCTAGCAGGCATTCAACAGAACTAGGCTGGAGAGAGCTATGGACTTGCTCTAGAATCAGACCCAGCTAAGTACTTGAATTTGGTCTTTGCACCTCTTCCCTGTCCCGCTCCTCTCTGGACTTCAGGTGGAATACATTAAACTTTTCCCTACAGAGAGAGAATGATTGTGGAGAAATAGCGATTACCACTCTGGGTTTTCAGACTATCTCTGTGAACTGTGGATGGTACCAAGCCGTGATTGCTAAACTAAGACCAGAATGCTGAGATTGTCATCAAAGAGGGACTGGTTCATACCGCTCATGGTGGCAGACGTAAGACACACCAGAGGCCTCCAACTCCTGACTCATAGGTATGGCGCTGGGTCCTCGCAGAGCTACAGCCCCTCCCCATGTCCTCATGGGTGAAGTCTACTTAGCTAGGTTTCCCAGCCTGCTTCCCGGTACCTAAGCCTCTCTCAGGAAGGGCGTTCTGAGACACAGCGAGGTACTCTCACCTGCCTCCGCACATCAGGGACCGTCAGCCACAGTGGGAACACGATGGGCAGGAGAAAGAGGTAAAGGGCCTGCTTCTGCCTGCTCTCAGGCCATTCCAAGGACAGAGGCTCCTCGTTTTCCTCCTCCTCTTCTTCCTCCTCTTCTTCCTCCTCTTCCTCCTCCTCTTCCTCCTCCTCATCTTCCTCTTCTCCACTGTCCCCTCCATCACTTCCCCCTTCATCATCTGCACCTTTCTCACCTTGGGTGGTCTCACATTGATTTTCAGCGTTGGCTTCTGTTTCATCGTCACCATCTTTTACCTCTGTGTCGTCAGCCTGGATTTCACCTTGCCTTTTGAGTTCATCTTCTTTCCCTTCTGCCTCAGTTTCCCCTTCTTGCTCATCTCCTTTCCCTTCTGCCTCAGTTTCCCCTTCTTGCTCATCTCCTTTCCCTTCTGCCTCAGTTTCCCCTTCATCTTCTTTTCCTTCTGCCTCAGTTTCCCCTTCTTGCTCATCTTTGTTTCCTTCTGCTTCAGTTCCCCCTTCTTGCTCATCTTTGTTTCCTTCTGCCTCAGTTTCCCCTTCTTGCTCATCTCCTTTTCCTTCTGCCTCAGTTTCCCCTTCTTGCTCATCTCCTTTTCCTTCTGCCTCAGTTTCCCCTTCTTCATTTTTGTTTCCTTCTTCCTCAGTTTCCCCTTCTTGCTCATCTCCTTTTCCTTCTGCTTCAGTTTCCCCTTCATGTTCATCTTCTTTTCCTCCTGCCTCAGTTTCCCCTTCTTGCTCATCTTCTTTTCCTTCTGCCTCAGTTTCCTCTTCTTGTTCAGCTTCTTTTCCTTCTGCCTCAGTTTCCCCTTCTTCATCTTCGTTTCCTTCTGCCTCAGTTTCCCTTTCGCCTGGTTGAGTTTCACCTGTTCGGTCAGCCTCACCCACTTCTTCCTGCAATCCAAAGACAACAGATTAATGTATGGTAACAGCCCTGCCTGATTTGCATCCCAGTTGCTCCCTAGTTTTGTTTTGTTGTTGTCAGAACATCTGAACAGTTAAATATTCAGAGGAGAAAACTGGTGCAAAGATGTGGCGAACTTCCCATCACAACATTCCTACCCAGTCAGTAGCCATCCAGCTTTTATTTGATCATTTCCAAGGCTGGAGCACTCACCACCTACAGCAGCATCCACCACCTTTAACAGCATTGGCTGGCTTGAAGTTAATATTTGCATCAAAGCCCCACCACCACATACAGTTTTATTCTTTGGAGACATGTGGAACAAGTCTAAGTACTCTCCCACAGGCCAGCCCCTTCATGAGTTGAAGGCTTCTGGCTTCTCCAGCATCCGGCATGCTATGACATAGAGAGTGCCACAGTTGGATGAACTTGATCTGTTAGCCATACCATGAGTGGGGCATCCAAAACTGAACACAGAACCTATACATACTGCAACAAGCCGATCCCCTCCCTTGTCTTATGTACCAGGCTCCCTTCCACATTGTCTAACGTGACCTGATATGCTTTGTCAGACACAACACCTTGCTAAGTCTCCTAAACTCTCCAACTCTTATATCGAATGTATAGATGATAATAATATACCTATGTATTGCACATTCTCACATGTCAGGCACAATAGTAAATGACTTCATAATAATAGCAGTTGCTATAATTCATGAACCCATCAATATATAGAATTGTACCCATCTGACTACTAGTAACGAGACAAGAGTAGAGGGGTAGATTTGCCCATCACAGTTTGTGTGTGATGATATTGGGATTTGAACAGCTATAGTTCAATTGTTGGCCTCTTGACCACTAATATTCCAGGGCTGAATTGTTATCTTGGGGACTTATTAGAAGTGCAAATTTCCTAACTCTACATGTATCAGCTGACTGAGAGCCTCTGAGATGAAAGTTCATGTTCATAGTTCCCATGTTCATTATTCGGGTGTGTTCATCTGCAGAGCTTTGACGTACCTCACACTAAAAGTCACTGATTCTGATAGTCCCCAGATAGATCTGAAACTAATAGGTAACATAGTAGTCTATCCCCTTGAGCAAGGACCCTTGTGCTTAAGGAGTAAACATGGCACTTGGAGCAAATGTAGTAACAACCCCAAAGGACCTCCAGTGATTTTCAACTCTGCTGAAAACAGATCTCCTAGAAACAACCTTTTCCTCAGTTTTTTGAGACAGGGTCTCCCTGTGCAGTCCTGGCTGGCATGGAACTCACTATGAAGACCAGGGTGGCCTTTAACTCACAGAGATCTGCTTGCCTCTGCCTCTTGAGTGCTGGGATTAAATGCATGCTCCACCATGCCTGGCTTGCCTGGAAACTTCTTCAGCCAGAATGCTGGAGGACCTGACCTGGGGATGCTGACTCAATGGGTAGACAAGGAACAACTTTTTAACATTTTCCATTTTATCCTAATATGCAACCAGAGTTGAGGCGCAGATGAAGAAGCAAAGTGTTACTACCTGGGGATGAGGGCTTTGAATTAGGAATGAAGAGTGAAAAGATCTGTCTAAAATCTTCCCTACCTCCCTCCTCTGACACCATCAGGAGCAGGCTTCCTGGATAGAGCAATTCATCGAGTCATTAGGGTAAGACCACCCAGCTATACCTCTTTCCCTGGCTCCCAAAATTGTTACCTTGGGAATCTTACTAGAAATGCATGCCTCAGCCAGGCAGTGGTGGCACACGCCTTTAATTCCAGCATTTAGGAGGCAGAGGCAAGTGGGTCTTTGAGTTCTAGGACAGCCTGGTCTACACAGCAAGTTCCAGGACTGCCAGGGCCACCCAGAAGAAAATAGATAGGAAGGAAGGGAAGGAGGGAGGGAGGGAGAGGAAGGAATGCAGGCAGGCAGGAAGGAAGGAAGGACTGATAGCCCAGATGAACAGCAGTTCCCTCCTGTGTTGCAATGAAGGCACCCCAACTTTCCCAGGGCCACAGTTGCCTGGCTATGCACTAGATCCCTGACATGTGACTTAAGTTTAACAGATTCTAAGAGTAGAAACTGGTGACTGGTTGGTCCCTGTGGACTGGAGGGCTGGACTGGTGTTTTAGGGTTGAAGCCAGTCATAGAATTTGCACATGGGAGGAAAGGCAGCAAATGGAGGCCTTCTTGGGCCTCTACCCAGCTCCTTCTGAGACTCAGATTCATTTCCTGGGCTGGGGCTCAGACACCTCTACATCCTTTTGTTTCTTTTCACATGAGCTGGCTATAGTGGGCCTGCTTGGTGCTCATACACCTTAGAGACTGAGTTCCAAAATTGCTGGACTGTGGAGGAGGGAAAAGTGTACTTCTGGGTGCTGACTAGGAAAAGCAGGGCTGGCACATGCACCTAAATATCCATTTACTGCCAGTCATTCAACCTATATCAGCACAGCATATACCAGACAGGATGTTTCCCTCTGAGGTGGAGGCAGAGATGGCTCAGACTTGGGTCCTGCCCTCAGGAACCTCACCGTCTGGTTGGGGAACTAGAGGAAGTTCAGAAAACAAGGAGACAGCTGTGGGCGCCCCATGTCAGGTACAGAGTTCCATGGGCATTTGGATTCTGGTGCATCACAGAAGCCTCATTGACAAGGGTCTGGGGATGGAGGGAGAGTGACTCTGTGTGTGTGTGTGTGTGTGTGTGTGTGTGTGTGTGTGTGTGTGTGTGTGTGTGTGTGTAGAGGGAACTCTATGAGCAAGGTCCATGGTAGAAAAGTGTGGAGACAAATTCCATTTGGTCTGAGAATAAGGGAAGAAGAGGCTGCCAGGGCAACGCAGGCTACAGATGAGGCAGGCACAACAGCAACGAAGGGCCTCGGGTCATGCCAAGGTCTCTTACCAACAGCCCTCTTACTGCTCTTTGAGCCACTGGTGGTCTGGGACAGCCTGGTCTCAGTCTGACATACTAACAATTCCTTATAGTCTTACAGTATGTGGTCATATATTCTCATGCTGGAGTATTTACCATGAACTTTCTGGGTCTGGAAAGTGTGAGCATTTTTCAAATGATTTCTGAGAAGGGACATGGTTCACCCCACAGGGTTAAATCTAAATGGGATTTCAGGCCTTCAAGTAGGAAGTATTTTGGCCAGAAAGCCCTTCCTTGACCTCTGAAACTCCTCCAGCTGTGCAGAGGCTGGGCGCCTACCTGGCAGCCTGGATCCTCCTCCTGATCTCCCTTGACGTCTGGAGCAGGGGCTGGAGTGACGGTGACCTCAGGGAGCTGGGCTGGCTCCTCCTCTTAAAGGACAAACACGGGTTAGGTGAGAGCAGGTTGAGAGCAGCTGCAGACAGGTGGGAGGGGCTACAGGGCATTTGGCGTGAGGGACTAAGGCTTGTTTGGGAACTGGAGCCTGTGCTTACTCTGTCCCCTGAATACGAAGGCATCTGGGAAGCACTCCCCTGTGTTTATGGGCATTTTCCTGGAATTGTGACCAGGGAGCAGGGAGGCTGATCCTTTGGAAAGGATCCCACTGAGTTCAAAGGCAAGCGGCTCTGAGGCCATGGATCAGAACTGCATAGAAGGGGCCTTGAAAAAATATGAAATGCTCAGGTTAGCTACAGGCTAACAACACCTTGGCTGTGTGGCTTTGGGCAGTTCACTTGATCTCTCTGAACCTTGATTTCCCGGACTATGGAATAGAAAGAATGATGGCTGCTTAACTCCCTCTATGGGATTCTGAGTAAGGCAGGTAAACCTGATGTGCAGGGCCCATGAGGCAATTGCTGCCCTACTTCCTTGATCATAGCTGCCAACAGACGCTAGGCTTCTGTCACTGGACTCCAAGTCACCTTCCTGCAGTAGGGCTTCTCATTTCAGATTACTCACAGCAGCAATGTCGTGTAGAAGTCATGGGAAGAAGGAAGCCAGTCTCACTTGGGATGCGGTTTAGGAAATAATATGTGAGAGATGAGTGCTCCCCTGTCCTTCCCTTGCCTGCCCCATCTGGGAGAGCAAGGAGGAAGCTACTGGGAGCAGGTAGCAGAAAAACATCACTGGAGGAAGCACCTGAGTGACACTGACTGACATGTGCCTCTGTGTCAGCTCTACACTGGCTGTGACAGGAGGTGGGGCAGGAGAAACCTGACCAGTGGCCAGTCTGGCCATCCTCTCACCGTCGGGACTGCTCTCTGCTTTGGTCTGGGGGTGGGCTCTGGCCTCCTGATTCAAACTCTCCTGCTTGTCCTTGGAGGGGCGGGCTGTGAAGGAGAAAGGAAGACATCTTATCTGGGACCTCAGTGTCCAGTCAGGACCCTGCACTGCCCGGCAGGTGGTGTCTGGATCTGAGCTCTCGAAGCCCACCGCTGGTACCCACCATCACTAGCTGGCTATGGCCTAGGGCAAATTGCTCCTCCTATTTCCTCTCTGATAAACATATGACTGGATTGGGGACCAGCCTGCAAGATGCATTTCCTTCATGACCTCAAGCTCATTTGAGCATCTGACCCAAGCTTGGTAGGAGGGTCCCTGCCGGGATCAGTGGTGTCCATGATGGTCTGGAAGTGGAGAAATGATGGCAGAGAGGCCGTTTTGCCACTCTTGGACAGATGATCTATAAGGTTCCTTGCAGCTCATTTGTCACAGGCATCCTAGAAGCCAGGACAACACATTCTGCGTGGACTGCTGCCCTGAGTCTTCCCTTGCCTGCAGAAGGGGGAAGGGATCAAGCTTCGTCTTTACCCTCTTGATCCCAGACACCAAGATTCCAAGTGGGTGTCACGTATTATTGGGACAGATTTTACTGGAGACCGCTAGAGTGGCTGGCAACAGAATAGCTGCCCTAATTTCCAGGAGAGAAAAATAATAGGGAGACCACCTCGCCCCCTATATTAACTGTGCCAGGAGACCGTTCGAAGGACTTCACATGAATAACTGACATGGAGAAGAAAAGGGGATGGGCTGAGAAGCGGAAGCTTAAGTGCCCCCGTCGACTGTGTGGCATGAGGGATGGGAAGGGCAGGCGGGACAATGGTGGAAACCAGCATGTGAAGTAAAGGCCACGTGGTTCCTGTTGTAAATGCAGGCTAGCTCTCTCCATGAGCATTGGGTTGCTTGGGAAGCCTGTGTGTCGTCTGCAAATGGCAACACGGTGATACACCCAGAACACCGGCTTGAGGATCCAGGAGACGAGAGTGCTAGACTGCTGCAGTGCTTCCCCAACACCATCAGGCGCACACGCTGGCGCCTGAGGGCCAGGGTGAGCTTGACCAGATGCACTGTGCCGATGGCCCCGCTGGCTGGCTGATTTCTTAGCCTCTCCGTCCTTTAGTCACTTCATCTGTAAAGCCTTCCAGAGATGCACTTATGCAGGACTGTATTTAAAACAGCCCCTAGATGTCACTGTGTTACTTTTTGGCTGTGATGATGATAGTGATCTGACAGCAGTAGTGGCCAGCAGCTCTCCACCCAGGAAAACAGTTCTGTGGTGAAAATGCCCAGCGTTCCAGAGGGCTTACGTTGGAAGAGACCCTGGAGATCATCTAGCGGGGAGACGGTGCAGACAGGCTGCACCGATGCTAAGACAGTATAGTCTGTGATGTTCGATGGACTAAAGACTCTGCCTGGATCCAGGATAGGCAGCAAATAGAAAAACAGTCCTGGCATTTCCTCCTTACTACCTGTCCCCTATACCCTCAGAATCGTTCTGCTGCTGCCGCCTTGGCAGTAAATGCCATTTGCAGAGTCCCTGCTATAGCCCCTCTGGTTCCTCAAGTTATCCTGGCACCCAGCTGATCTTTCTGGAGTTTTCAGGACTTCAGAACAACCCTGCCTCCTCAATCCAAATGCCCAGGGGCTCTAGGCACTAATCATGAGCTGTGACAACCAGATGAACAGACAGTCACCACCATCAAAGAAGGGCATCCTGGGATTCCCATCCTGGCCCTGGCACATCAGCTGACTGCTGGCTGGAGAAACTCATAACCCTCATCACTGGCCCCAGCCTCTCATTTCCCATGTCACTGCTGCTCACACACACACACACACACACACACACACACACACACACACACACACACCTGACTGGGAGCACAGGAGAATCATGGGAGCAGGAGAAGGAAAACACCACTCTGGGGAGGTGAGAGTTCAGAGGACAGGATACATCTGGGAGAGAGCTGGATCTGGGTGGAAACATCTGGATGGCCATCTGGAAGCTGCCAGGGAAATGAGCTTGGGAACAAAGGCCTGGAAGCCCTAGCCCCTCCCGGGTGGAGGCGCTGGCAAATGCTCAGACTCCAGCTCTGAGCAGCGTTGCATCCCAGGACACATCTGCAGTTACTCGTCTCAAGGGGGGTCCTGGCTTACCACACCCACAGTCCATATACCGGGTCTCCCCTGTCATTGTTCCCTCAAGTGCCCTCTCCCCGCCCAGCATGGCTAGATCATCTCCTTAGTGCCAATCTCCTGTGACCTCAGCCTGGCCTGAACACCACATAATCCTGTTAGGACAAGTAGGCCAGCTGGCAGCTGATGCTCACAAAGGTGGCCGGGTTTGGGAGCTCACAGTCCATTCAGGAGAAGTTCTTTGTTTTCAGGGCTCGGCTAGAGTCTGTGCTTCTGCTGAGAATAGCTAGGCATGACTTAGAAATCTTGGGAAGCCAGGTCAGGTCTGTCCCAGACTTCAGACCTGAGGCTGCCTGAGGCTGCTCACTCCTCAGAGGTGCTGCTCATTCGGGGTGGCTTTGTTGCCAATGCTCATCTTGAAGAGTTTCTCTTTCTTTTCTTTTCTTTTCTTTCCTCCTTCCTTCCTTCCTTCTTTCCTTTCTTTCTTTCTTTCTTCCTTTCTAATTTTGTGTGTATTGCTGTTTTGCCTTCATGGATGCCTGGGTGAGGGTATCAGATCCTCTGGAACTGGAGTTCCAGACAGCTGTGAGTGGCCATGTGGGTGCTAGAAATTGAGCCTCGGTCCTCTGGAAGAGCAGCCAGTGCTCTTAACCGCTGAGCCATCTCTCTAGCCCTCACCTTGAAGAATTTCTAAGGAAGATCTTCGTTGCCTTGTCCTTGACACTGCTTTTCCCAGTGCTGTATGTAATACGTTTAAACACATAGCACCCCATATTGTGTCTGAAGGGATAGGTCAGAGCCCTATGAAAGTCTGAGATCCTAAAAGGTGCCCCTTAACCAGAAAGGTCAGTCAGGGGTCTCCCTGAGGCTCATCATTTTGTACCATATTCAGACTCTCTTGCCTAACTGCTTGCCATGGTTTTGCCCAAAACTAACGTTTTTCTAGTGGGCCTCCTGCTTGGGCTCAGTTCTGCACCAGAGACCCAGAAAAGGGGGGGGGCGGTCCAAAGGGAGCAGGAGAGTTCCTGAGAGGCAAGCAGTGGAGTGTAAGAGACATGTGGGGTAGTGTTCTGGAGAAACGAGAGGAAGACAGGTGGGACTTGGTAAGGTGGACAATGGGACTCTCCGCTGCTGCCATTGTTTGTCAAGTTCAACTTCCGCACCTTAAACACTGCTTTCTGCTCCCCAAAAGTGGCTGTGACCTCTCCTGCGGTGTCCTTTTGGACTCCTGGCTGGAAAGAGGGACAAACTTCCTAGGACTCCAGAGCTGAATCCAAAGTAAAGAGAAATGCCACAGGGCTGTGGAGGAGGTGTCCCCTGAAGAATCCCTGGCCAGTCAATCTATGGAACATTGGATCTGACCCAACACAGATCCGAATAGGCCACATAGCATTTGTGTCGTGGCTGTGGATAAGGCCCTTCACTCTACAGACAGGGACGGATGCAGGGCAGGGAAACAGTGGAATACTACTTGAGGACCCAGTCACCATGTCTCACGTCGCTGTCTCTTGGTAAGCCCAGTTCTTACGTCTTACTTGTCTTCCAGACTGTCTAGCGTTCACTGCCCACCCTCTTCTCATAACCCTGTCCTCCCAGCCCAGCCCACTGTCTCCAGCATTTGCAAGTCCCCGATTGTCTCCAGTAGCAGGAGGGGAGGCAGGCATGGGGCAGACCAGCAGATCTGAGGAGGCCTTGCTTACCTTCCCCCAGGGGGTCCAGGCTGTGGAGCATGAGGTGGTAGATGGTGCTGCGGATGATGCTGTTGTGTAGTGAGGCCGAGCTGCTCCCTCGGGTCAGCACAGACGGGAGCTGAGCAAGGGGAGAGCCGCACGGGCCTCAGTGGGGCCTTCCCAGGTCAGGAGAGGAGCTGCAGGAGGGCCTCCTGGCCAACCTGCCTCCTTCCCACAGAGACCAGAGAGAGCATGCCCCTCGCCCCTCGCCCCTGCTTCCTTCACTTCCAACTCTCTCATCCTCCCTTTGGTTCCTCCAGGACCAGCTCCTTCTGCACTATACATGAGTCCCACAGCCTCCACAGGGAACAGGTCATATGGATCAGTGGTACCATGATATGGGAAGGTTGGCAAGCACCCTTTCTAGAAACACATCCTTATCCACACAGGCAGGCTGCTGCGCCAGGCAAGTCCTTTACAATCTGCACATTGTGCCTGATCGTGTTCTGTAATTGTACTATGCCCAGGGATAAGCAAAGCTGGGAGCCCCATGGACAGGAAAGAAGGAATCATAAAGTGGGGATGGGGGTGGGGGGTATGTCCAAGGTCAAGCAGTGAGCGAGTCAAACTGGCAGCCCAGGGCTACTGATTGTGAGCCCAGTTTGACTTTACACTCTGGTGCTCAGAGACCTTCAGAGGTACAGAAGTACACGCACCTATACTGCGCACAGATGTGACAAAGCGACACAAAGAAAATACCATAAGATTGCCACCAGAGACACCCTCTTGGCTCTCCCGATCCCGTTCCAGCTGAACTCTTCCGCCACCTAGTGGCTGTGGCCATTACAATGGCCTTGGAGGTTTTCTTTGGATAGGGGAAGTTTCAGGCCCCCAAAATCCCACCTGCCCTGCCTTCTATCAAAGTTCCCCATAACTCCTTCCACGCAGTGCCGTAGGCTATTTCAGAAGCCTTAGACCCTGCTGGCTCAAGAGCTTTCCCCAAGTTCCTTAGTTCTGGGTATGCTAAAGCCACGGGTAATTGAACTTTTATCAATCAGGGTTGAAACTGGAAAGTATGACTTGAGTTTCTCTAGTCCAAACTGCATCTTATAAACATGGAAGCTGAGATTATACAGGAGGCTCAGTGAGATGTGATGTTAAAGAGATAGTTCCCAAGTTAGCACCGTGTGGAGTTAGAGGCCCTCACCACACAGCCTGCTCCTGTCTGACTCCACTTTTGTAGTGCCTCCAAGACCTCCCTGGGTTGACTAGGGTGCTGCGGTCCTGATGTGCAGACATATGCTGAGACCCTGAGGTGCTCCCCCTCGTGCCAAGGCTCCACAGTATATCCCTGCTCAAACTGGGACCCTGCGTTGTCTCCACTGGGTAAGCTTCACATACCCACCTTGAGCTTCTTGTTATCCTGTGACTCATTTTCCTCAATGGCACCTTCACTGGGCTGCAGAGAGGAGCAAAGATTGAGAGATGAACCACAGATATCATGGAGAGACCCTGCTTCTTTGATCCTACCTGCCCCTTTCTCGGGGAAGCTGCTGGTAAAACCCAGAAACACTCTGAGCTAATCTGTCCTTAGCAAATGTCTCAACATGCCTGCCACCCTTTGGCTCAAATGTGTCACCTGCCTGAAAAGGCATCCCAGGCTCCTGTTGGTCCTGCTTTGGTTCCTCACTCATGCTTCAGATCTCCATTTAAATGTCACCGTCCTCTCTGCCTACTCTTTTCTGTCCTAGCATTTTCCCCAATTTCTTTGTGTGTGAACAGACATGGTACAGATGCAATATATTTATTAAGTAAAAGGATAGTTTTACTTCATCTACTTCCACTCCGCCCTGGTTATGCCCTTTCCCTATAACACAGACACCTTCCCTATGCCTCTCTGCTAGCCTGAATCCTTTGTTCCTCCTCAGAAAACCTGCACCACACCCCCACTCCTGCTGCTAAAACTGCCCTCCCCTTGAAGATTGGACAGCAATAGCCATCTTGTGATTTCAAAATCTTGCTTTGGAGTTAGATAAGTGCTTATGCCTTAGGGAAGCAGTGGAGCATCCTGCTGAGGAGTGAGACCACCCCACTCACCCAAGATGAAAAAACACGGAGCCCATTAGAGTCATAGCCTTGAAATGCCATTTGAATGATATATGAGCTGTCTATTCAACTCAAGCCCAATCATTTACCTATTTTTAGAGATGGGTGCAATATCTAACCCAGACTAGCCTAGAACTCGCTGTACAATCCAGGCTGGTCTTGAATTTGTGGTGATCCTCCTACCTCAGCCTCCTTTACACTAGATTCTATGTTTGTTTGTTTTTACCATGCAGTGAACTTGTGATGTAGTTGTTTCTGGTCCTGACCTGTGGCTCTCAACAAAGGTAAGGAGGGTGCATACATAATCCCAGGTGGCCTCTGGTACTATCTTTAGACACCAAGGTTATTAACAGTTGCCCTAGTGACCATCTGTACATCCCTCTGCTTCCCTCATTGGCCAACAAGGACCACCCAGAAACAGAACATCTTCATTCTCTGTTCTGCTCTGAAAATATCAAAATACCACCTGACCACAGGCCACCCACTCTTATACTGAGCACATGCTATTATAAGGGAGTGTTGGTGGTTATAGGGAGAAAAGATTTAGGGCACAGAGTCTGTGTTCAGAAAGGAATGGAGACATATCACACACATGCATGGCAAAGCAGAGCATGGGTCCTCTTCAGGTATATTCTACACACACACACACACACACACACACACACACACACACACACACACACACCTGCACTCAGCACAGTGAGTTTCCAAGCACATCACATTGTGTCCCTTCTCTATGTTCTAGAAGTCACACTGTCCTCTGGGAGACTTGAGCTTCCTCTGTACTAGCCTCCTGACCGCCTATAGTGCAGTGCTACAAACAACTTTTGAGGGGAAGGGATTGTTTTGTTTGTTTGTTGAGACAGGGTTTCTCTGTGTAGCCTTAGCTGTCCTGGAACTTCTTCTGTAGACCTGGCTAGCTTCAAACTCATAGAGATCCTCCTGCCTCTGCCTCCTTAGTGCTGGAATGAAATGTGTGCCCAATCACCACCTGGCTTTGTTTTGTTTTTTGAAACAGGGTCTCATTATGCATCCCTGACTGGCCAGGAACTCACAGAGATCTGCCTGCCTCTGCCTCCCAAGTGCTAGGATAAAAGGCGTGCGCCACCACACCCAACCTGTGACTTCTTCCAGTGCTTCCCCACATTCAAACTTTGTTAATGTTTCTGTGTTGGAGATCAAATATGTCAGACAAGTGCTCTACCATTGAGCTACAGCTGTGGTCCTCTAAAAGTACTATTTCAACAAGCTGTTGTGAAATATTCCTTTACACTGTGTGAAGATGTGTCACTGTGACTGTTCTAATAAAGAGTTGAATGGCCAATAGGTAGGTAAGGAAGGGGCTAGGCAGGACTTCCAGAGACAGAGATGATTCTGGGTAGAAGAACAGTGGAGTCACCAGCCAGACTCTGGGCAGTAGTGAAGGTAAGGAGTCACCTGGTAGAACATAGATTGAAATTAACAGTTAACGTACGAGCCAGTAGGAGAAGCTCAGGCTTCTTTGTTGAGGACTAAGTGTGTGATGTACATCTCACACTTCCTCTTTCACACTTCTCGCAAATGCTCACACTGCCGGGGTCACGGCCACATTCTTCTCAGCACCGCCGCAGTCTCACAGACGGCACCCGTTCCTCTGGCCTCAGCACGGGACACTTCAGGGCAGACTCCTGCAACCCATTTTCCCAGGCCTCTCTTGACCCTCTGCAGTACTGAATCCCTTTTTGTGCATCTGATGAAACTTAGGCTATGGAACCTCTCTCCCATCACACACCTAATTTTCTAGAAGTGGTTGTATAGTCTCCTCGATGAGTATCAGGTACCACAAAGCCTGGACCGACTCTAGTTTCTCCATGAGACTTGGGAGTATGTTTCATTTGTCACTCTATCACAAAGACAGGCCATGAGTGTAAGACAGGATCTTTCAGGGCCTGCTTTTTCTCTCCTTCTCAGAGCTCTGATGCTCCAAAACAGTGGCTAGTGACTCACAAATTCACTCCTCACCAATGCTCCATCTTCAGACTCATGTATCCAACCGCCTCCTGGGCAGTAAAGGAAGCGCCCAGACTCACCACTCCAGAGCAGAGCTCCTGAGTTCCCTGAACCAGTGTTTCCTCCAGACTTCTCTGTCGCTGTGGCTGGCACTGCCATTCATTCTCCACTCCTGCCTGAGCTCAGCTCCACCCTGTCTTCTCCCACCCTCACTCCTCATCACCAAGTGCAGGCGGTAACTTCTCCAGGACATCTGCCACAGACAGCCGTGCATGTGTGATGCGCTTCACTTGACTCGGGGTCAGTATACTGCACTCAATGGTGGTCCAAAGCCAGTTGGTGGAAAGTTCCAGAAACAAACTGTAACTTCTAAATTGCTTAATGCATTCTCAGGCTGTCCCTGCCCATCCTGCCTGGGACATGAATCATCTGCATGTTCTGTGCATTTGTGCTACCTACCCGTGAGGCATTTAGTAATTATCTCAGTTATCAGATTGTCCTCATTTTACAGTGTTTTTATTCAAATAACCCTTATTTAGTAATGGTTCAAAAGTGCAAACGTAATGATGCTGAAAATTCAGCTGTGTCAAAGAAAAGAGCTGTAAAGCAAGTGTTACAAATTTAGGTTTGTTCAGTGGGGATCACGACATTGCATCTCCTGAGGCTAAGCTGAGACAACTGTATGCACACACATGCGTGCGTAAGCACACACACACAGCTCCAGCCAACTCCCAATCAGACACGCTGTTACTCCTATTTCCATTACTGTGCACCTATAATTCGTTGTCTACGCAGTAACTTAGGAGTGACCTCTAAAACAGGACTCTGTTAATCCTTTATTGTACCTCAAATGAAACCCAAACTCAGTACCCAATTCCCAGGCCCCCAGTCTGCCCCGTGATGCCCTGTGCCGTCTTCCTGCCTTGCCCACCAACCACAATGCTGTGTCAGGTCCTTCCAGCCCGAGGCCTTTGCAAGTGTTCCTCCTTCCTCAGGGATCCTCGTCCAGTTCGACTCTTCAGCTCTCTCTTTAGACTTCTCTCCAACAAACCTCCCTTATTCCCCTCAGCAAGGGCCCCCACCACACTGTCACCGGGCATCTCCCTCACAGTGCTCCTCACTCTGCAATTCTCTTACTAACTTGTCACTCTGTTCATCATCCACATATCCATGCCCCCTCACTAAACAGTTACATGTTGGGTTTGTTTTCCAATTAGTTCAGGTGACAGGGCATGTAGAATGCATGCTATTCTTTGTAGAGCACCATGGATATTGATTTGATACTTAATGCCATCAAGTTCCACAGGAGAAAATGTTACTGTGTTGTATGAATGCCTGTAACACCTCAGCTGCAGGCACACACACTTTTGTGGAACCAACAAGCAATAGTATTGGGCTCATGCAGATGTTTGTGATGTGCTACTAATAATTGTTTCTCATGCATTTGTTTTGTCACCTGCTGGAATTAGTGTTGGAGGCCAGAGTGAGCTATAGCAAGAGAAGAGAGAGAGACTCCTACCATCTTTTCCTGGCAATTAGAATGAAGCCAATGACCAGTTAAACAACTAAAGGCCATTCCTCAGCCCAGCCAAGGCGAACTCTTTTGAAGCATGGTGGCTTCTATGGAGCCTAACATGGGTGGGACCCACAGAAGCAGGGAGAGCCAAGACGGCTGTTTCTTGTCCAGATCCTTCCGTCTCTACAGCAAGCAGCTGGCCAGACAGGCCGCTGATATACCCTTCAAGCTAAATATCAACTCCGACAAGAAATGGAAAGTCCATCCGCCTCAGGTATGCCTGCCTTGCCTGTGTGGAGTCTTCCTGTTAGGGAGAAAATAGGCCACAGTGTATTCAGGACGAAGTGCCAAACTTTTCCCCAGAACCTCGCATCCTGAGGAATTCTTTGGTGCAGAGTGTAGAGATGGGCTTTTCATAAGGACTCATATCCTTATGCCCCTGTTTGCCATTGGCACTCCATAAGCCTGCTCTTCCGTCCATAACTGGTCCTTCTGGCTCGGCTCCTCACTCCACATGAGGAAGAGTCCATCATCCTTGGATGCCAGTGAGTTTTCTGATGAATGTTGGCTCTCTGTGACTATACAGGGATTTGTCATCCGGGGCCAGAAACAATTTACAGAGAGCTTCAACACTCAGCATAAAGCTTCAAAGAGAGCGAAGCAAGGCTGTTGATAGCCATGCAAGCATTTGCTGTTGCCTCACTGGGGTCATAAAGAGCCCCTTACACCAGCCGATGTAAATCTGAAAATGTCTTAGGTGGCTTTAGCTTTGAAATTTTTCAGCTAGTGCCGAAAGAGACACTCTAAACTACTATACATGGACTGCGGAGGTGACCGGAAGCCTGGTGACCTGAGGGTTATTTCCTAGGACCCTCCTGATAGAGAACCCACTCCTCTGACCTCCACACGTGTGCCGTGGCATGTGGGAGCCTGTCACAGACGCAATAAATAGATGTAGATATTTAAAAACTCTGTGTGGGGGGGCATTTTTTCTGGAAATAGTCTTAAATGCATTTTTGTTAGAATCATGGCCCCCAAGAAAGTCCTTCATTTTTAATTAAGACACTCCAGACAGAATGCGACATTCATAAAATGAAAAGATCGCCCGGCTCAGAAACCTGACTGCACCTGTTAGAGGAATGCTCAAGGCCTGTTGGAGAGGAGAACCATGTGGCCACTCCCACTATATTTACTGTGCAGCTGTGTAGCTATTTACTTTCCAGCTACGGGAAGGGCATTGAACTGTGAGGGGGTGTGGCTTGCAAAGCAGGCGGTTTTCCATGCCAAAGCCTAAGTTGCCTTACCCCATTCACAGCAATGGAAGGCCTGCATGAGCAGCAACATGATTTGCGGCTCCAGCACAGGGTTCTCTTCCTTAAAGTTAACTTTATTTCTCACACTGCTTTTCATCCAGGTACTAACTAATAAATGGTTTGTAGAGTTGCCTTGACTTGCTCGCGGTGCAGGGGATAGTAACAGGGCACCTAAGTTAAAACCCAAATATACTGATCACTATCATCACTAAGTATCACTAACTAGCTGTGTGACTTTGGACAGGCTAAGTGCCCACTCTGTGCCCCTGTCTCCTCATATGTAAGATATGAATTACAGTCTAGTTTTTTAGCATTTAATAAGAAATTGTTGCCAGGCAGTGGTGATACATGCCTTTAATCCCAGCACTCAGGAGGCAGAAGCAGGTGGATCTCTCTAAATTTGAGGCCAGCTTGGACTATAGAGCAAGCTCCAGGACAACTAGGGCTACACAGAGAAACCCTGTTTTAAAAAATCAAAAAAGAACGCCGGGCGTTGGTGGCACACGCCTTTAATCCCAGCACTCAAGAGGCAGAGGCAGGAGGATCTCTGTGAGTTCAAAACCAGCCTCGTCTACAAGTGCTAGTTCCAGGACAGCCTCCAAAGCCACAGAGAAACCTTGCCTCAAAAAAAAAAAAAAAGAAAAGAAAAAGAAAAAAATTGTTGAGATGCTTGTATATGGAATGGAACCATCATAAGTGTGGAAGTGTAGATTCCCTCCCTGGCTCCTCCCTTCCAATAAACTGGAGTTCCTGAACTGTTGGCACTCCTGAAGAGACTGAGCCAAATACTTCCAGACTAAGACTGGGTTCAGACATTGGGACACAATCGCTTCCCCGCTCAGTGGCAGTGATGAAGGTGCTATTGCTGTCACTCAGAGGAAGGAAAAGGACCCCTTTTTCCCACTGTATTCTCTCCTTGCCTGGCTTCTACTTCCCAAGATGTTCTGGCCTGCATCTCAGCTCTGCTCCTTGACTCCCAGCCTGCCTGCCCCAATTCTCTGACTTCCTCTATTGAAGAGCCATAGTCGATTGAGGAAGCCCACTTTTTCTGACCCCTGACATCTCCATAGAACTTTAACTAAGGGACCCATTGATCCAGGAGAGCCACAGTCCAGTGAGAAGGAAGTGGGGGAAAGGTTGTTATCAAAAAAAATTCATAGGTAAGGGAAAACACTTTGCAGGCAGGCACAGACTTGACATTGAGCCACAGACATTGAAAACCAGCATGGCCGGATATTGGTGGTGCACGCCTTTGATCCCAGCACTCAGGAGGCAGAGACAGGCGGATCTCTGTGAGTTTGAGACCAGCCTGGTCTACAGAGCGAGGCTCCAAAGCTACAGATAAACCCTGTCTCAAAAAACAAACAAACAAACAAAAACCAGCATGGTTTGCTAGACCAAAGAACTGCACAGAACTGCTTTATGGATTCAAAGCAGTGGCTTGCCATCATTCTGTCAATAAAATATAGTACAGCTTACAGTCCTCTGATCCGATCATAGATCTTGGCCAGTTAAATCCAGACACAAAGAAGAGTAGCTCACTCTCTCTCTGTAGATCACCCCAGAATGGAACTCTAAATCCATATATATATATATATATATATATATATATGTGTGTGTGTGTGTGTGTGTGTGTGTGTGTGTGTGTGTGTGTGTGTGTGTGTATTTAAACTACTGTAGTTCTTGAGTTGCTTATTTATACTTATTCTTACATGATGGGCATTATTCAAAGAAAGTTCAGAGTGTGCATTCTATTTAAATACTGTTGGATTTACCTTCAAGTATAGTTAGTAATTCAACTTTTCTTTAATAATACTGTCAATACTGAATTAGCTTCAATACAAAGTAAGCAAACAGTTGGACTCAACCCCTGCTTACTGGTTGGCAAAGAACTGCATCTGTTGGCCTTGGGCAGCCTCTTAAGTTGGACAAATTCTCTTTTAAAATTCATGGGGTTTGCCTCACGTGCTTAGCAAGCTTTGCTTCGATGGCCTTGCTTGGTACAGTAGAAATTTCAGGATGTGTTCAGTTTCAGTGAGAGCAGAGTTACTACAAAGAACCAGGAAGTGAGTAGGCGGGGCCCTGTTACACACCAGGGATTTCCTCAGAGAAGCAAGGCTCCAGAATGAGTTCTGTCCTAGGAGGCTCCTGCTTCCTCAGCTTAAATTACACAGCAAGGAGTCACCATTTCTCTACGCCCATGACTTTACAGCAGCAGCCTGGCAGGAAACTGTGCTGATTAGAGAGTCAGGGAGCTGCATCTCTGCGGTTCTGACCCCAGTGGGCCAAGTGACCCAGAGCAGCATTCTTCCCTGTCTGTGTCCTGAGTGAACAAACAGTAAATGGTCATATGAGTAATCACTGTGCTGAGTCTTACCAGAATTGAACGCATTTGGACTCAGACATCATCATAAACATAGGAGTTAGGCAGGACCTTTGGTGATAACTTGGCCTGTCATTTCTCCTGGAGACTAGGAAAGAGTTTTAAGAGACCTGTCCAGGTCACACCATTAATTGAAAAGGGGCATCAGATTAGAACTCGGGATCTAGCCCTGGATTCCATGCTCTAGCCAGGACACCATGCTATTTCAAAAATTCTAAAGGAAGCAGTTTAATCTCTTGCCTCCTGTTGCTGAGGTTGTTAGCCATCCTGCCCACTCATCAAAACTGCCCAGGATTAGGTAGCTAAGTCCTATGCTCTTTGCACGCAAAATTCTGCTCCTACCAACAGCCTCCCTGAGACCAGAGAGACAGGCTATGAGCCAATCTGTACCCAAACTCACCCTCCAGGAATCAGAAAGAAAGGTGTCCCTATTTGGGATTTGTTTTCAGAGATGACCTCCCCAATATAATGTTGTCTTTCAAGTCACTGAATCTTGCAATGAGTTTAAGCAGTAAAGTCCCTCACAGGGGCAGAAAAGCTCTAGCTCAATTTCTTTTCTGGAAATCAGGCTCACAATCATAACCACTGGGGAAGAGCCACACTCACACTTGCTAATTACAGGGTTTAGGCATGCTGTGAATGAATGAACAGCAGCCAAGGAAGCAGAGCAGCCGCCTCTTGAAGTCTTGCTCTTTCTGCTCTTTGGTCCTTAGCTTCCTCCTGTCCTACCACACTAAAGAGGCCTGGGAAAGCTGGAGTCAGACTGCCTTACCTTGCTGAGATCCCCCAGGGCCATGACCTTGGCTACCGGCCTCCTGCTGAGCTGCTCTTTCACCCAAAGCTCAATCTGTTTGTTCCACTTCATGGTGAACACATAGAGGGCATAGGCCAGCAGCAGCAGCAGGCTCTCCCACCAGGCAATGAGGCTGTCCAGGAAGAAGACAATGAGCATGGACAAGTCAAGGATGTAGAAGGAGACATCGCGGAACAAGGGCCACCAGGTAAGATTGAGGATCTCCCGGGAGAAAAGGGCACAGGTGCCAATGACGAAAAGGATGTTGAACACAGCAGAGCCCACAATGGTACCAATACCCACATTGCTGTGGGAGATAAAGACGCCAATGAGAGAGGTGAAGAGCTCAGGGGCTGAGCCTCCGGCAGCCATGAATGTGGCTCCTGCCACATCCTCAGAGATCTGCAGCTTGTCTGTGATGACTCCCAGGGCTGGGACAAAGTACTCATCACACACAATGGCCAAGGCCACAAACACATACATCATGCCGAAGATGTGCAGAGCCACCCAGCCCTGCCGCCGGTCCTCCACACTGAACAGGTCTGGAGGGTACTCTGCCTTGGCGTGGAGCTTTGGCCAGCCAGGTGGTGAAGCTGAGGGACTGGGACTGGGTGCCCCTGGGAACAGAATGTTTGTTATGCTCGGGGATGGGGTCATGGGTACAGCTGGGACTGGTTCCATAACCACACAGCGGTGGACCTGTGTGGTCAGGATTGCCTTGACTTTGGAAGTTACAGGGGCTGTGGATGGTCTCTTTGCCCCCTCCCTGTTGGTGACTGAGGCAATTCTAATGGTTGGTGCACTGGTTCTGGACAAGAGATTGCTGATTCTCCAGGCAGCAGTAGAAGCTCCGACGGTTGCTGGGTTACTACCCATCCTGGCTCTTACTGTCACTTGCTCCTCAGAGGTGGCTGGAGTGTGCTGTGGGACTGTTCCCTGGAGACTGGTAGAGCTGTTTTGTTCCTCTCTTCCAGGACTGCCCAGGGTGTTCTCTTCCACCAAACTTGGAGTAGTCAAGAGACTTGTTTCTGCTTCACGTGTTAAGAAAGTCGGGGTGTTCGGAACCACTCTCCTGAAAGAAGCTGCAGTGGTTTCTTCCACTATTCTCTCAGGAGGTCTGGTCTCCAAGAGCCTATAGGTTGCCATAGTTTTGCTGTCTTTCTCTGTTGTTATGGGGGTGGTAGCAGATGGTGCACCTGCTGGGGATGGGGTATACTTCCTTCCCTTTTCCCTGGAGTGAGCTGGGGTGGAGTTCCTCCTCTCTCCCCTGGGTATTGGAGTATAGTTTTTTATTCTCTCTCTGCCCGATGTTGAGATGAAGTGGTTTGATGCTCTGCTAGATGTAGGTGGGGGTTTTTCCTTTTTTCTTTCTGTGCCAGCAGCTATAGGGCTATAATCATTCTTTGGCGATGTTGGAGTGATCTTGGTTGTTCTGGGTGGGTTGGGGGTATCCTCCATTGTTATGCTAGGTGTTGCTTCATCCCTGATTACTGTGTTTTGGGGTGCCAGTATCTCACCGTCCACTTCAGAGCTAGCCTCTGGAGGGTCACTTCCCACCACTGTCATCTCATCACTGGGGAGGTCCCTGCCAGCCAATTTAATAGGCTGTTGGGAAGAGACTTTTGTCCACATTGAAGGGGAGTTCTGGGGTCTCCGCAGGTGCTGATAGGTGGAACCGATGATCAACATTCCCAGGAGGAAAAGGAGGCGACTCCAGTGAAGCCTCTTTGGACGTCGGAATAACCGCCTCTCCCGTGTCCCTATCCTGATCAGTTTCCCCATGATGGCCAGTTATGTCTGGTTGCAGTTAGCCTTTCATTCTGTCCAGGGAGAGGCAGAGGTTGCTCTGGGATTCATATTGGTAATCAGGAAAGATCTCTCCAGGGCACCCAGCCAGGGGTATCCACAAACCTAGAGAGGAAGAGAAATCACTTGTCTTCTTCTGGGATCTAGAACTCCCACTTAGAAAAGTGTCACAGGAATGAAAAGTATCACACAGAGAGCCTTGTGGTGGGAGATCTTGTTCTGTAAGAGCTAACCACCCCTGCCCTCCATTCCAGGGTGCAATGCCTGTTCTCAGGAGGGAGTATTCCCACTCTGTGTACACGCCAGCTGTCCAATTTTCTGACTGGGTTCAGGTGGGCTTTGTGGATTATCCCATCTCTTCAGTTCCCTGCAAAGAGTCTCCTGCACCCCTTGGGTCCAAGCCTAAGTTACTGGGAGCTCAGTCATCCATAACTGGGGCCCAGGCCATAGATCTCAGCTTCTCTAAGATAAGAAGGAGTTAGGGAGGCATGACTTTAAAGTACAGAAAGCAAGAGAAAGCGGTGAATGGCATCGTTGTGGATATTAGTTTAGTACGGCTCTGTATGCTCGTGTATGTTAGTTTTTGCTGTTGTGCGGCTGGGATTTGTTTAAAATGCTTATGCTGTCTCATCCAGACAGGACAAAGCTTAAAAGTCATGGGGCTTCTTGCAGAATGGTGTGGGATGGTGGAAGGAAAATGAGAAACGGAGGCAAAGGTCGGGACTCTCAGCTCTAGTGCCATCCTGGGTAAGCTGACCTCCGTGCCTCAACCGTGACATGGATATGTGTCGGTCATGCAAAATTGGCCAAAGGGAGACGTAATTTTCACTGTATATTCAACCAAAGTGTTTTACCATGTGTATGCTGTAACATTTTAAACATAATTTTTGTTTGTTTTGTTTCGTTTTTCAAAACAGGATTTCTCTGTGTAGCTCTGGCTGCCAAGATCTGTCTATAGGCCAGGCTGGCTTGAACTCACAGAGATCCACCTTCTTCTACCTCCCGAATGCTGGGATTAAAAACGTGTACCACTACCACCGGTTTAATTTTCTGAGACAGGGTTTCATGCAGCCCATACTGGCTTTAAACACAATATGTAGGCAAGGACGACCTTGAACTTTTCCTCCTGCCTTCGTCTCCCAAGTGCTAAGATTATAGGCTGTGCCACCGTGTAGATTTTGTGTGACTTGGGGGTATGGAACCCAGAGCTTCATGTATGTTAAGCAAGGACTCTACCAACTGAACTATATCCCAGCACATTTAAATTTAATTTAATTGTAAGAATATTGCCCATATAAATAATAATGACATTTAGATTACAGGAATTCTGAAAGACCAAACACACGAAGTCTATGAGAAGCATTAGACAGAATCAAGAGATCTTGAAGTTAGCTTACACAAGGATGCAAGAGGAAAGACCCAAGGGAAACCTTTTTTATAAAAGGCCTTGAGACCCAGACCCAGCAAAAGCTCATTAAATCTCTAACCTGTGTCCAACTGTGTTACAAATTACTAGAAATGCCTGGCTTGAGAAGGATAGTAATGTATCAGAAGTGGCCTGAGTAATATAAGATCTGCCCACTATGACTCCCTGGTGAGGCACCTGGAGGAAAAGTGATTCACTTCACACAGCTCCAAGGGACCCAGACATGAGCCTGCAGTGAATCTCCCAGTCTGTTTGTAAACCACACTTACTGGAAGTTCCAGTATACCAGCCTACAACATAAAAGCAGAACCATCCCTTGTCCTGGCTTACCCTGACCTTTCCCTGTCTTCCTCCAGAACCCTGTCCATTGCCTTGAACTCATTACTTTGCAGCCAGCCCACATGTGCTTCCTACAGAAAGTCTTGTGAGGCTCTCTCCTTACCCTGTGCATGTGGAGGAGAGCTGAGCTGACACCCCGGCTGTGTCCCTGGTAAAAGCACACCATTTACCTTCAGACCTCGACATCTGTGTCTTCCAAGTTCTGGAAACTTGTCAGAATCCAGGGTCTCGGAGAGTGGGTCTGAAGCTGAACCACAAAAAACACCCCATTCTCTTACCCCCAGCTCCCTAGGGTCGAGTATGAAGGGCATGTCAGGGGAAGAATATCCAATCCTGCCTAATACCAGCCTCCTCTAAGAAGCTTATGGGGCATTGTACAAGTTCTGGGTCCCAGTGCCTCAGAAGAAGCCTGAGGGGGTAGACCTTTTACCAGGGACACAAAATAGACTTTCCATGGGACCCCCCCCCAGAGTCAGCAAGGGATCTTCTCAAATTTATTACTAAGCTATGGGAATTCAAGGTCGTCTAGGGCTTCCATGCTTAGGTGGGAGGATAGGAGCAGAGGAAACCAAGGGAAAGTGCCTGGGGCTTAAGAGATCAGAAGACATCAGCACCAGCCTCCACTCTGTGAGTCTAACCATAGTCTAAGTGTACATGTGGACACAATAACACCCGCCCTACCCACGCTTAGAGAGAGTGTGAAAACCAAAGTTGAAACTGAGGGACTGGAACAAAAATACTTTGCAAACTTGAAAGCATTTTGTAAGTGGAATGTATTTTATTAAACCAAAGGGGAATCCTCAGGGGATCATGCTGGGACATCACAATGTACCTAAGATGTTGGCTCCTGGAGCCTCTTGCACCTCCAGCTCACCACTTGGAGTTGGTCACAGTGGGACTTGGGTAAAACAGTGGGGGTCTTGTGCCTGCAGCCATGTCAACCTTTCAGCTAATTCTGCCTGGCATCTGCTGACTGTCTGCCCTTCCTTTCCTTGTTTTCTACAAGTACATGAGTAGCTTCTGCTTTAATCTGAAATAGCAGGTAATCCCTCCCAGTCTCACCTCTGCCCCAATCACCCTGAGTAGCCCAGAAGAGTGAAAGGTAAGCTGCTTCCTCTGCCAACCCCTGCAGTGGCGCTGCCACTACTGGAAGAGCTAGATAGACCTCTGTGTCCTGTGGTGACACTGCATGCCTACGGCTGGGGAAGGAAGGTGACCTCTGACAGCCACTCCGTTTTGCTTTTATGCCACCAAAGGCAGAACCAGACTAACTTTTCCTGTCTTCATTGTTTCATCTGGCCCACAGAGACAGAGAAGAAAATACAATTGATAGAGTGGTTTCTTTTTTTCTTCTGGAAACTTCTATCTTAAAGTGTTACTTACACCACAGAGAGCATTCAGTGGAGAAGAAAACCCCCCAGAAAAGACATTCCTTTCTCTCATATCCTTAACATTCTACTTGATAGAGATGACTCCAGTTCCTTCTTTCTTAGTCTCATGGAATTGAAATGCCTTTTGAAAGTCAATGGGCCACAGGAAAGTTTGGGGTTCACCTTGGAATGCAGTCATCATGCACACTAGCCCCGAGAGCTTGGACCGACTTCTCTGGGCAGAGCTGTAAGTAGAGCTCCCATCTGTAGAAGGAGGAGGATAATGACACTACCTGATTGATAGGGCTGTCCTGAGGACTAAGCAATTAACATGTAAAGCGTATTCATAGTGCCTGGTGCTGCAATTGTTATTACTCTACTTGTAGATCTTGCAGGCTCTACAGCTGCTCGGGATTGTAGACAGGTGTCAGAGGGCAGCAGATCCCACGAATTCCATTATTACAACTTTGTGTATTATGTATTTGTTAGTCTGATCAATGCCTGCCTCTCTTAATGGCACAAGAGCTCCAAGAGGACAGGACCTTGCCTGCCTTATCTATTGCTGAATCCCCAGAGCTCAGAGAAATGCTCACCACTCAGTATATTTATTTTGAGATAAAAAAGTCTATCCCAACCAGGTGCATGCCTACAATTCCAGCATTAGGGAGATGAAGACAGGAAGATCAGGAGTTTGCAGTCAACCTTGGTTACATAGTGAGTTGAAGGCCTGGGTCATGCAGTGATAAGCTGTCTCAAAAGACAAAAAGTATATCATAGGGTGTGGAATGCTCAGGTAGGGTTCATGGGCCTGACCTAGGTAGAGGGAGGAGTGCATACTCAAAAGGCTTTCAAAAACAAGTGGGTAGAGAAAGGCCAGCACTTCTGGGGAGAGGGAAGTTCCTCTACAGTTACTTCATTTTATCCTCTGCTCTGGGACAGGGTGTCAGGATAGCAGGGGCCCACAGCGCTAACCCCCACAGCAAACTCAGGATAACCTCACCAACTGGAGAAAGAAGCCAGGGATTCACTGCTTGGCAGGGCAGCAAGGCGGGGTCTCCTTGCCCTTGAAGGCATCTTTCTCCTTGTCCTTTCCTACCCTCTGCTAGAACAGAGGAGGGATCTGATGTGGGCAGGGTTATTTATTTATTTCTGAGCCTATCTTAGGAATTGATGGTGTGGTGGTTTGAACGACAATGGCCCCCATAGGCTCATATATTTGAATGCTTAGTCCTAGTTTAGGAAGGATTGTAGGTATGGTTGGGGGGGGGAGCTTTGAGGTTAAAAAGCCCCTGCCATTCCCAATTCGTGCTCTCTCTCTCTCTCTCTCTCTCTCTCCCTCCCTCCCTCCCTCCCTCCCTCCCTCCCTCCCTCCCTCTTGCTTGTAGATCTAAAACTGTTCCAGCATCATGCCTGCCTGACATCTGCCATGCTCCTTGCCATGATCATCATGAACTCTAGCCAACGCTCTGAAACTGTAAGCCTCCAATAAACTCTTTTCTAAGTTGCCTTGGTCATGGTGTCTTCACAGCAATAGAAAAGTAACTAAGACAGATCCCAACTGTATAATCAATCACCCTGTGGGGAGGGGACACAATTCATCAAGGGCTGCAATTTCAAATGCCTTTAAGCCTGGGCAATAAAAACGACGTCTAGCAGCTCTAGTCTAGCAGCATTAGTGGAGACTGCCCCGGATGTGGTTGCCCAGAGCACGAATGACACACTGAGAGATGCCCCAGTGTCAAACTACTCAAACATATTAAAAGACTGATTTTAAACTACTGGGCACTACGTAACTGCTAACAAAGTAATGAGTCTGACCAGAGCAAGTTTCCTAGAGCCTT